GAAAAAAAAAAAAAAAAAAAAAAGAAGAAGAAGAAAAGAAAGTAAGTTCAAAGTAAAGTATCAGTAGTCCATAAGATAGAAATCTCTTGCAGAGCCTCTGCCACTGTGAACATCAGCACAGTTGAATCTGAGATGAAGAAGCAAGTCGGCCTGTACAAATTGCATTTAATTTTCACCCAGTAGCTCTCTCTTCAGGTCACTGGGCAATTTATGTCCAGACCCTCTTTGTAGAGAAGGGGAAGAGGGCCAATGCAGCGCTCCATAGTTGTTCATTTCTCTTTGCTGATGAGAAGAAAAAAATTGCTTTCTATTTCATTGTCCTCCAAAATGCTTTGTGTTGGAGAGGGCATCAAAATACTATCTAGTGACCCTTGACTTTTCTTTTTTCTAGAGCAAAGACTCAGGTGGACTGAAGGCGGCTATGATAGAGTTGGTGGAAAGGTTAAAGTTCAAGAGCTCAGACCCTAAAGTAAGTATTGTTTCGGAATTAGGTGGGTGTTGGTAAGCATTTGTTCTCCAAACACTGAGTTTGAGAGATGCTAATGATCATTGGTCTAAATGTTACATTAAAATCTAATTAATCCTGCCCCTCAGAAACAGTGTTCTAATATGCCTGAAGATAAGTCCTCTGTTTTCTCCCTTGTCTATTTTGTGACTTATAGCACGTAATCATTAATTGTTTTCCCTGAACTGCAGAGAAATGCATTTTTAATCTTTATTAGGCTTTTGAGACTTAAGTCCTTTCTGTCCATTAAATCCAGCCAAAGGCATCTGAGATGCTGATTAGCATAATACTGAGTACTGGAACAGGATCCAGTTGATTTTCAGTGCTGATGTCTTATGCATCCCCCACTTACTGGGGTCAGCTGTCACCATGAATGCCTTTTTCCTTATGACCTGGAGTCTGTTCTGGGAAATGGTTGAAGTGTCCCAGATTTTTTTTTATGATATTCTGAGGCCTGAAGGGTTGATATCCTGGGAGGTGCCATACCAGGGTGGGGGTGGATTGAAAACTGAACATGCCGGAGGGATTATGACTAACAGAGACTCCCTTCTTCTTCCAACTGAGACATTTGTAGCACTACCTGCTATTGGGACCAGCTGGCTCTGCCTGAGATTCACAGCCTTTCATGATTAAGTAGGGAAGAGAAACAATTTTATTTTACTTTGTGTATTCCTTTTTTCCCCCTAAATTCTTTATAAAGGGAATGGGGTGGCATTTCTTGAGTACCTGCTAAGAGACAGGCATTGTGGTAGGGGCCTTACATAATTGTGGTGAAATACACAAAACAAAATTTTAACTGTTTTTAAGTGTATTGTTCAGTGGTGTTTAATGCATTTATATTGTTATGTAACCACCAACACCATCTAACTCTGGTATGTTCTTATTATCCTAAAGTGGATCTCTGTACCCATAAACATTTAATTCTTCATTCTTCCACCCCTTACATCCTTTTGATTGTAGTATTAACCCTGTAAAGTAGTATCTTATTCCTAATTTATAGATAGGGGCACCAAGGCTTGGAGAGGTAGGGTCATTTGCTTCAACTCTAGTATAATATAGAGGTGGTACTTAAACTCTGGTTCCATTGGCTATACTTTATGTCCTGCATCAAACCAAGCACTAGGTTTTAACCCTTTTCTACTATGTAATCACTTTGTGTCTCTGTATTCTAAACTAGAACATTATGAGTCAGAGCCATAGACAATGACAGGCTTTTCAAATGATGGCTGCAATTGCCAATCTACAAAATAATATGTGATACTGAAAGCGTTGGGGCATCAGCACTATCTCTTGTATTCTGGTGTAGTTAGGGTACCAGAGAACTGTGTGTCTTGATAGAAAAACAATTAGAATAACTTCTATCAAGTTTTCTAGCTCAGAGTAGGTGAAAGTCTAAGCTAAACTGGTATAAGTAGCTTTTCCTTCAGTGAAGATGAACCACTAACTTCTTAAGGATCACTGAAAGCTTTCCTTAGCAAATTCACCTAGTTTCTAGGGTACCAGTTATGATAAGGGAGACAACTGTATTTTCTGTTTCTGCTATACCTATATGCTTGTAATTAGCAGGACAGTGAAGAGGGAAAGATGATGCACGTCAAATGCTTTGGCTTCCTTTGTGAAAGAATGTAGTGCATCTGATGGAAAACTTACAAGAAGTGAAAGGACTGAGTGGTCCCATGAGGAGAATCCATGGAAGCCTCAGGATTCCCCCATGATGCATCATAAGCTAAAGAACCTGATTTGATCTTGGGTATGTGGGTACATGCTCACCATCTTTTTATCTTCAGGTCCTTTCTTATTCTGCCACATGCATATGCTGTATATCCTTGAACATAATTGAAGAATGACTACTAGGTCAGGAGGGATGGTAAAAAAAAATAGGCCACTTAAATATATAATTTCCATACAAAGAAAATTTTTCTAGAAATAAGTTGGAATCTTCCACAAGAACCCTTATGTTTTCAGTCTCTTCTGTTTCCCCTCAGTACCTTCCCGTCCCCTTTTCTGAGTTGGCTTATTTAAGATGGGTAGTGTGTCTCAGGCTTTATGACCTGTCATTTCCTGGTGCAATGACTTTACATAGAAGCACTGATTGAGTCGTGGAGGACTGAGTATTCTCTGCCTCACTTCCTCTTGAATTCCCTAAAGCTGCACAAAACTTGATTAGTCTAGACACTGAAATCTACTGGAAACTGAGTTAATTTTTAACCGAGTTTTGCCAGAGACCAGTGGAAGATACGTATGTTAACCATTTTTAAAAATAATAAAATAATATGTGCTTATAGATGAAAAATACAAACATTCATAAAGGCAAAGTAAAATGAATTCTCTTCAAGTTAACCAGTATAAGAATTTGATGTATAACCTTTTAGACATTTTTCCATTTTTAAAATTTTTTACAAAATTGTACTGTCCTTTTGGTCTTGGAGGTCCCCTTTATTTCATTGTGCAGAATGTCATGGTTATTCTTTGTTAATAATACAGAGTTAATTCTTCTTCTTGCCTCATTTTATCCAAAATATTTGTGAGATGCTTTCTTTTCTTCCAGACTAGTGATTGTTAAATTCTGCATGCATGAAAATCACCTGGAGGACTTATTAAAATAGTGTGTTGAGCCCACACAGTTTTTGACTTAGCTGATCTGGGTTGACTAGAAATTTTCATTTCTTTGTGCCTTTTTTTCTTTTTTTGTTATTGTGGTACTGTCAGTTGAGCCAGAGCCATGCTCGGCAAGTGCTGTACCACTGAACTGATGCATCCTAACCTCTTTTCATTTTAAAGACAAAATCTTACTCAATTGTCCAGTCTGGCCTCAAACTTGTGATCCTCCTCTCTCAACCTTTCGTGTAGCTGGGTTCATAGTTATGTAGCTGGAATCTCAAGTGTGCAGGTGGGATCACAAGTGTGTCAGTGAGGTCACAGGCTAGTGGCTAGAATCCCAGGCACCACCATGCTTGCTACAAGAATTTTCGTTTCTGTCATGTTTCCAAGTGATGTTGACATTGTTGGTTCAGGAACCACTTTGAGAATCACTGTGCTTGACCTTGGCTATTTTTTTTCACATTTGTTTTCATTCTTTTCAACAAATAGAAGAGCACCTGGAAATAAGCCTGATTTCAGCTTTGAAAATGGAAATGAAATACAGTACATTATGAAAGAGAGAAATCAAGCAGAGAGAGGAATAGGGAATGGGAAAGGGAGATAAATTGGAAAGTCATCTAGTCTGCCTAAAGGAAAAATAATGCTTAACCCATCATTTCCAATAAAATCAGCAAAAGCTAAAACAGGGAAAGGGGTACTGATTAGGATAAAGGAGGATAATCAAAGCCCAAAGCCCATGCCACAGTTCAGTCATAGGTTGTTCTAAGCCAGAGGAATGGTAGGAATCATCAAATCCAGCTCCAGGAATGAGCCAGAGGACAGAACTCTGAGCCTGAGATGATTGAAAAATATGGCACAAAATTTTGTGCATGCGTGTTGCTGTGGTGAGCCCTACCTCTAGGCATTTCAAATCTTTGTGAAGTGGCTGTATTATGGGAAAAGATCACTTATAATAGCAATCTTTGGTTAGCAAAAAGGAGTACTAGTTAGTAGTCCTTTCAGTAATAAACCTGATAGATTCAGTTTGCAAAATTTTTTTCCAGATGGATTTTCAAAAACATTTATTGTGCAAAGCAGCATGTTTTTTTCTGATAATATTTTACATAGAAGATAGATACAGTGAATCAGGGCTGTGTGTGTGTGTTTGCACATACACCTAGAGTTTTAAGACATTTACAGCTTTCTGAGTTTATTTTCATAGCTTTCCTAAGTACAGAGTTATCTTCCATAGTTCATCCAAAGGAAACCAAAGCTTAGAAGACACATCATTTCCCTCCTCTCCCTTTTCCTGCCTAGTCTTCAGAAAGCATTGAACCAGAAGGCTAACATGCTAAGCTCAATCAAACTAGCGTCTTATTATGTAGTTAATAACAGCCACTTTCTCTATTATGTATTGATTGCATTTCTTTCCCTCTGAGATGTGTGCTTCATTGTTTCCTGTAACTGGTGCTTGAAGCAAACAGTTAAAAAGCACAGTTGCTTTTCTCAAATTTATACTAATAACAAGTTATTTTAAAGAAACATCTTAAAACTCTACATTATCCTCTGTGATTGATGTGAGATTAAATATGGTATCTGGTCTTACTGAGACTACCTACAACGTAGGTCTCTACCCTCTATCAGTGTTCTTTTTTATAATTTTAATTTTTATTAGTACATTGCAGTAAATGAAGTTTACAGTCATCTTGGGGTAGTAGTGTTCATACTGAAGCATAAAACCAAAGATCTGTCTAGCAACATAAAATTAGTTAAACTAATCTTAGAACTGTTTTATTATTTTAAGTTATTTATATAGAATTTCATAATTGCAAAAGAACTTCATGGTCATTTTTCATAGCTGATATCAGTGGCACAGAACACAGCTCAGTCCTTCACTCAAAGTTCTATGCTAATCAGAATGCCAAAAATTGTAAGTTTTGCATCTACAAATAGTATTGAATATAGTCAAAATATATAATGTAATTCTCATTGTTAGTATTCTGTTTTTCACAAGGGTCAAGCCAGACTTCATCCTTCTTCATTCTTGTTCTGCACTAAGACAGAAGCATTCGCCGAGGAAGTGTTATTTAATCAACTAAAGTAGAGATGGCTCAGCTATCAAGTTATTGTATATGACAGTGTTCCTTTGCTTGAGACCAAGTTAGAAATACAGACCTATTTCTGTATTTTTCATAAAAAAGTAAGTAGGCAATCTTGGAGGGCATGAGTTATGTTTATCCCTGTATCCTCAGTGCTTATTAGCATGAGGCTAGCATATAGTGATGGATAGGCATTATCTATTATAACAACCCCATGAAAATAAGAATTTGTTAGGTTTTATGGATGAGCAGTTTAAGATTAAGAGAGATTAAATAGTTTGCTAG